TTCTCTAATCTCCAATACCAATTTAGAAAAATTTATAGCCATCTAACGAACATTTATAGTTGACCTAGAAATATGAAAAAATGTCCATTAAATTAATGATTTAATAGTCTCAGTTATTACCATACTTCTATACCCGTTTCTATAGCAGGAAGAATGGGACAAAAATCTCCTAAAATAATTAATTTTCAAAATCTATGTTTGTATGAAATACATCACGCTAAGTCTTGTTTGCTATTTTGAAGGTTTTTTTAGAACTATTCATACCTCATACAAAATTATTAAATCAATTTCTCGTAGTTCTGTTTTTTCGGATTTTTTCTCTTTAAATACAATTTACATATACGTACCATACATATTCACAAGTGTGCGTTATAAAGTTAAGAACTACAGTACAAGGACAAAAGTGTCTTTCTCTCTTTCTTTCTCTTGATCCAGGTGTGTGTCGGTAAGTCACATCACAGGATTTCCTTGACTTAGTAAGCAAACCATGTTGCTTTCTACGTATCTATTATCGAATAATCGGATTACATATTCAAAAGTAGTTTTTTTTATAGTTTTTTGATGTTATCGATTTGCAACAAAGAATTCCTTTTTTTTAAATTAGTTATTTTGCTTTTTCGTTAAGTTACGAAATATTTTATGTTGAAAAATCTGCAAAATTTTGGATACCAGATCAAAAACTGTGAGTATGATAAGCATTTAAGAAAGTTTATGGAAATTTGTGTAGGTGCATGAGCGCACACGATTTTGAGGATTGCATTTAAGTATTTTTTGTCTAATGTTCATGAACCCTAGCTTATTATTTATGTCTTATAATACCTATTATTGCAACAGGAAAAAGCTAAGTGTTCACAAATTTGTTAGTTTTTTTGTATCTCTGGGCGTTATTCATGGAATTTGGACGTTATTTGCACTTCTTGTATAAAAAGTAGTGTTGCCACACAAGTAACATTCAACTGTGGTTACCCCCCAAAAAAACCCGTAGTAGAGATGGCCGTTCAGTGACAAAACCTACTATTTTAATGTTTCCCTTTAATTACTTATTTATATTTTGAAATATTCAACTTCTGAATATCGAATAAATTGCAAAAAAAAAAAAAATTTGAACAATTTAAAATCAGTTATATTCCCTGCAGGCAAGTAAGGTTATTTAAGCATATATTTACATAAATGGTTATATCATAAGGTTCTTGCTATAAAGTAATTTTTTTTTCTATTCTTTTGTAACCACATACAAATCATTTATTAAAATTGGTTGTTGTAAGGCACTGTTACGTCCGAACTTTAAAGTGAAGGGCGAAACTCGTAGATTCGTTCTACAAACAAATAAATTTAATTTTTATTCGTCAGGAACCAGCCGTCAGCCCAAAGACTTCATTTGCTCTTACTTACAGTATGCTTTTCTTTCAAATCGTTGACTCGGCGTTGTGGTGTTAGGTTTCAACGAATGATATGTGTAGAGAGGTATTGGTACATCGTACGCCAAGCTGGCGTTGACCTACTGTTTGAATTTATCTGATGTAATATGGTCGTAGCGTATTTTATTCGTCTCTTTATCTTACGTCCTTGTAAGGTCTTTATTATCCGTTAGGTATTTAATTTTTCCTTGGTACATAATTTATTTATCGAGGTAAAATTTATATTTTTATCAATTCAAATTTTGATTCTTAGAGTACTTACAGTGATGCCGAAAATAATTAATTTTACAAATAATATGAATTATGAAGGTTCAGATTCGCGTTTACAATATTTTAACAAGTTTTTATTTTTCTTAACTTAACTTACTTCTATGATCGTTGGTTAACCGCTGCTTGCCCGCACGCAGTCGCGAGATCTTACAAAGTTGACCGCAACGATGATCTTAATCTTACACGAGAGTACTCATGGCGATGGAAATAATTAGGCTGCTGCTTTTAATGTCAGAACCTTAGTCAACGGTCCGGTCCTTTCTTTCTTGTTCCTCCTTGAGTCACTTTTTAGGCGAGTTTATAGTGGCCTGGTTTTCTCGAGCTTTTCTCACACAGTCACCCAACTAAGTCTTACATTTGCTTGAAATGCACACTTTTAACACGTAGCTTAATTACCGAACTAAGTCTTACATCCGCTTAAAATGCACTCTTTTAACACGTAGCTTAATCACTGAACTAAGTCTTACATCCGCTAAAAGACGCAACAGAACTCACTCTCCAACCTTCATAGTTACTTTGGAGCACTTGATGAAAGAGAAAAGGCAATTATTGGTATGTGCAAGGAGTTTTTATACTCTTGCATTTAAAGAGGACACGTCAAGTTGGGGAGCCGAATGACCAATCAGAGCTCAACCCAATTACTCTCAATTTACACAAGCATAAACGTGGTACAACAACTATACCACGAACAATGGTAAAAATCGCTGATTTCTCGGTTGTTGCATTTGGTACAGTTAACGTTGAAGCTGTTCACGACATTCGCTGTAGATCATTCTTAATAATAACTGTTGAAACTGCTGATTGTTTTCATTCTTGCAGACATTTAGTAAAAATTGATTTTTGTAAGATGAGCGCTACATAAGATTATTTGGAAATTGCACGCGTAGTTAGAGTTTTGCGACGGCAGCTCTTTTCAAAGGAAGTAAGTTATATGTCACGAGATTGCAGAAGCAGCTATACAGCTCAATGTTTAACAATCGCTGAGCACTCGCTTTTTATAAGTTCTTAACGGAGCTGTGTATTTCGAAATAATGAATATTAAGTATTTGACATGGGATGTCACAGCACCATAAATTTTTATGTAAAAATATTTAAATCAAATTTGAAAAAAATTAGGTATGTGCATGTTTGTAGTTGTGAGTAAGTATTTTGGAACATTATTGGTAAATTGACTAAAACTAGAATAACTTGCTGTGTTGCTCGACACCTATGATCGTATAATAGTGTATACCTGCAAATTGCAAAAAGACCATTGATTTTGTTTGAAATTTCAAAAATTCAGAGCTTTCGTTGTTTTAAAGATGCAGAGCTAAAATTGTAACATGTAGTAGTTTTTGTGTCTACTTACCATCATACCAATTTCAGCAAGATCTAATATTTACAAACTGTAGCTCAATGCAGAAAACAGCACTTTCCCTAAAAAATTTGTAGTGTAGTTACATACTACTTTTTGACAGGATCATCTTTTTTAATAGTTAAGTAACAATATACTGAAATTATAATCTCTTCTTTCAAGTAAAAGCTACTAAGATCATAATGTCGGCCATGCCTACCCTTTACGGCTTGACTCAAGAAGCTCATCCTTTTACGCACACTGCATAGCTAAGCGCATGAAATACCACTAATTATCTTTTTGATGTTTAGTAGTACAATTTTTTAAATTATAAATAAATAACTAAAGAGGAACAAGTAGTTTCTATTACGGAAGGGTTATCGATACCAGGGCTTTTTTTTCGGGGTTGGCACCAGGACCAAACTGTGGAAAATGAGCGTGGCCTTGCGCGGGGGCTCACCATTGCGCGCGCTTTGCATAGCCAAACGCAATATAAAAACTTTTCCTGAAGAGAAAATGTTAAAACTTTAATACGTTTTTAATTAACTACTAAAGAAGATAATCCCTTTAAAAAATAGCATGTTACTGCACCACAACTTTTTCAGAGCCCTCTTACGAAAGTGCTTTTTTTTCATCAAGCTGCAGTTTGCAAAAATTATGTATATAATCTTGCCAAACTTGTGCATAGTAGTTAGTGGACAAAAAAACGACAAAACTTCAGCTCTTTATCTTGAAAAGAACAAGAGTTATGAATTTTACATATTTCGAGAAAAATCGATGGTTTTTTGCAATTAGCGGGGAAACTATCAGGTCCAATCAGGTTTATCCGCAGCTAATTGTCTTTTATCTTTTTACGGCACATCAGCTTTATCAAAGCTTGTTTTTGCTTATTCTGTCGATTTCTGACGCAAAAAACCGGTTCTTAAAATTTTCACCATTTTTTGAATCATTACTGGAAATAGTAAGGTGTTAAATTTCACTTTTTTCCATTAGTAGGTATTTTTATCATCTACTTAGATCCATTTTTCTCTCTAAACTCAGAATTTATAACGCTAAAAAGCTAATACTATTACAGTATTACAATAAATTTAATATTGATGAGAGTCCCTAGTATAGCTTTCACTTTATTAATATTGGAAAATCGTTTTTTTTCTTTGTTTAAGGATTTTTCTTGACAAAACCACGTGCATAGACTTTTGAACATGTTTATTATCTTGCAGACTTTCATACTTATAAGAAGTAAAAAAAAATCATACTCCTAATAAGTAATATGATATAAATTGGTGCATAGCAAAGAAAAACGGTTAAATTATTTTTTCAACAGCAAGTAGAGAATCAGGCAACGATTATAAAAAAATTGAAACAAAATTCGATACTTGTAAGCTTCAAAAGCTAGCTACAAATTTGTTGTTCGGGAAAACAGACTCTAAACAGGCTTAAACAGGTCTTAATGTATAATGTAAGATCATTTCAAGTATTTTTTTACTTTCATTAGCTCAACTTTTAATAGATCAACCGCTATGAAATACTAAGCCGTGTCATAAATTTATGCAGGCTAAGTTAGTTACTAGATGATATTTGAGATATTAGGTGACATCGATTAGTGAATACTTACACTATTTGTCATTAAGTATGGGTTTAATAACTGCCATCTAGCTTTATTTTTCAGTGGTCTATGATATAAACTATAAAGGTTGTTAATTATGTCGACAAATCTACAACAATCAGGTAAATACAGATAAAGAGTATAGTGAACACCAGAGCAAGATGTTTGTTGCAACATTTTTATTTGATGTTAACGTACAAATTAGGGAATAATGAATTGGTTATAAAACCATTAGTTACTATCTGTAAGTCTATTTCTTCTCTAGCATGCTTTACTTTAGAACTTATTTTCTAATCTTTTGTATAAATTATAAGGTATGTCTTTATATTTACTATACTACTTGATTGTAGCTTAAAATAAAAACACTACTTACTGTTGTTGGCGATGTAAACATATTCGGAGTTATACCGCCTCCAATTAATTGTGCTGCTTGCGTGCTTGTCGCTGAAACAGCAACCCTACCACGACCAGTGCTGGTTATTGAACCTGGATGGATATTGGGTTGTCCTGAAACATTTTTTTCCAACAACACACGTTGAATTATCGAAAATTGGAAAAAAGTAACGATTGTAGTTACTAGAAAACTATGGTGACAAATTAACTCTTATTAAAACTTATAATCAAAATGTGTTAAATTTACTACGTTACTTTAGTAAGGTATGACTTAAATACATGCGTGTGTGTGTGCGCACGCACGCGCGTGCATCAGAAAAAAGCTAATACGAGGGATATTGTTAGCAAGCATAAGATTATTGTTTGCTGCAAATCAAGCAGCTTGGTATTACTGCTCCAGCAAGAAATAGTATTAGGAGCACGTATGCTTTACCACTCCAATGAATCTTCTTAGGCCAATCGAGCCATTTTTGAGACTGAGTTATACGAGACGTATGCTATGAATAATGAAGCATTAAAGTTGGAACGAGAGCTCGTTATAAAAATTACGTTTTGAATTAGAACAAGCACTCTTTCAACAGAAAGTCTCTTCTCAAAACTTTAAAGGATGACACAAAAGAAATCACAATTTCACAGATATCACGTGTTCTGACTCACCTTTCCTCTCTCTTCGTTTTTTTTTCGTTGTATCCTATTATGCAAAAACCAGAGAGATTACATTGTGTTTGGTACGTTTATTTAACTATCATCTTCAAAAAAAGCGTAAGAGGGAGTGCAAAAATTAACTGTCAATAAATATTCCCTCTATCATTTTCTAATTCTACTTTTTCTTTCTCTTTATCTTTCTGTTGTTCTACATTCGATTGATATAAAGCAGCCAAACATAGTTATAAATTATGTATAGAAAGTAAGACTTGTTTTTTTTTGAAAAAGAAAGAAAGAAAGAAGAAACAAAAAGATACATTAGAGACAATAAAATTTTAACTTACTTTACATTCAAGTAACAGCAATGTTTAAAAAACTGATTTGTTATTTGGGATAGAGACAAAACCTAATTCATATTTATTGACGCTTTAGAAACCAATCCCTTATAATTTCGTTGCGTTTGGTTTGTGATTAATAACCAAACTCTACATTTAATATAATCAAATCTACAGATAGACTGGTAACTATAAAAATGTAGTATTTCTTAGAAATAGCTGGGCCATCCAAAAGTTAAGCTTTTTTGTAAAAAGATGTAATTGAGCAAATATTATAAACAAAAAGTTAAGTCAGCCGTTTTATCATCTGAGATATTTACTAGACAAACACAGTAAAGACGTATCAAATAAGAATTAATAAGAAAATTTAAAAAAAAATTTTAATAATGAGATACTTTTTTTCTTTATTCAAAAGACTTTTAATTGTTTCAATGTCTTCCTTTATATTTTAAATGTTAGGATTTATGAGAGTCTACTTTCCTTAAGAAACTCAAGACAAAACAGCTATTACTTTTGGCCAACATTTCCAAAACGTTACAACATGTGTTCCCAACAACAGCTTGGTAGGTCTCAAAATTAGTTGCAGAGTTATCATTTTAACTATTGTATANTATACAAAGCCATTATTGTATATTTTAAAAAGGGTAATTTCACAACCCCTGAATTATTAGACGTATGCATAAAATACAATTCTCGTCAACCGTTGCCAACAAATCACTTTTTTTCTTAGCTAGGCTAGTTTGAAAAGCTTTCCTTATCATGCAGCACTATCCATTTGTTTGAGCTCTTGGGTAGGGAAAGCAAAAAAAGATATGCTTCTGAATATATTATATGCTCGATTTGGCTAATACCCAACAACCAATTACCATGGAAGAGATTTGGAACTACAGCACAAAAAACACTTGCTTTTAAATCTAAGTATACTGGAATTTTCAAGAAATCAAATTACGAATATTTTTTTTTTTTAAACAGCCAGTTTAGATTTGAGGAAAAATTTGAGTGACACAAAAATGTCTATGAAAATTACATCGAGTGAGTATCTAGAATTCTCATAAACTACTCATACGATTTTTACAACCAACAGAAAAGTTTTATAGATAATATTTGTACTAGACGCTTTCTTTCCAAAGGAGGCCACTGCTTAGCCAGCCTATCGGTAATGTCAGTACCAGTTATACAAAAGTTAAAACGACGAGTAAAATAGTTAATGCAAGAGATTTTTCTATTAAAACTGATAACGGGCTGGGTGTATTTGCAACGGTTGCTGTACTCTGTATGAATAATACGCAGTAAGATGAATAATTAAATCATCTAAAAAAAACTTTAGCTTCGTTCACAGTAGTAGTGTTAGCTAAGAAGAAGTCACACTCATCTAGAGCTTCAAATATTTGCTCAAGTCCCTAGGTAGAACCTTTCTTTTCAATACATACGCCAGTAAGATTTTTTGTAGGAAAATAAATTATCTATAAAATGAGACCATTTACGAAATTATAAGTGCCATTTTTGACCAGCAAATCACGTTAAAAGTTTAAAACGCTTGTTTCTTTGAATATTTAATATCTTAAAAATAAAAATACTTTGAATGTTACAACTCTCGTAAGAATCATGCTAATATTGATTTAAATAAACGTATAAAATTTTTAAAACGATCCCTTTTTAACGTTTAAAGTTATTAACATTTAAAATTTTATTGGACGCTAAACTACCTCATGCAAAGCAGATAACCTGATCACTTCGTATTCATCCCAGTGGTCTTAAAAATTTTTTAAACCATCTCAATATAAAATCCCGTTGCAGTTTAGAAAAAACCAATTCTAACTAATTTTATAGCCATTTGTTTATCAATCATTGTTTCTTACAAACGTAGAAAACTATGTAACTTTGTTAAAAATAAGTACTAATCATTTTCGTTCTCATAACTTTATAAATGGTTTTTTTGTATAAATGAGAAAAAAAATTTCTCTAGCATGCATAAAAGCTGACATTTTTTTTTTTTAACTTCAAAGGGCGTAATATACGTCACACAATGGTCAAATTTACGGAGATTAAAATTTAATACTTGAACTTTCAATACAGAAACATATTGCATTTGTACTGTATAGAATAGTACAAGATTACGATTGCTGAAGTTGATCGTGGGAAAGCCAAGCACACCGTCAGGTGGATGCGTTAGTGGCAGGAAGAGAGAAGAGCAGCTTCGGACCAACTGAGCTCGAGTGCTTTAAATCAAACACGCATTCAGAATAGTCAGTATTTTAACCATCATACAACTAAAAAAATTCATTTTGTACTTTTGTTGGGGCTGCTTGACGAGAAAATAATAATAATAATTTTTATAGTCAATATTCATCTTAAATTATTCCATTATTAACATTAATTAAAACACTATTGCATTTGAAGGTAAAGTAAATTTTCTAATATTGGAAAATCGTTTTTTTTCTTTGTTTAAGGATTTTTCTTGACAAAACCACGTGCATAGACTTTTGAACATGTTTATTATCTTGCAGACTTTCATACTTATAAGAAGTAAAAAAAAATCATA